AAATTTGTATTCAATCAAATGTACCATCGAATTTCTCAAAAATACTTGAAGCTGAACATTTACAAAATTTTTCAAACTTTCGTCGTCATTTCTATCATATTAATCATCAAAGAATAAAATTTTCTCTTCAAGATTATCCTAATATTAATATTACTAATATTCGTCTTGCACCAGTAAATCAATCTGTTCAAAATGATTTTATGAAAAGACTAAACAAAAATACTTCTTGCTTTCCACATTTAGTTTATCATGGTACAAGATTAAAAAATATCGAAAGTATTCTTCAGTATGGCTTTTTGATACCAAATCGAGCACATCCATCTAATAGTGAAGCACCTATTATTGTTTCAGAACATGGTCGAGCTTTTGGTACTGGAATTTATTCAAGTTATTCAGCTGCTTATTCATTATTATATATTAATGCTACTAATACTTTTTTAGCATGTGCAGCAATACCAAAACGTGACAAAGTTGGGAAAATTGAACGTTTCCATGGAAATATATTAGTTTTATCTCATATATCACAAATTATACCATTATTTTTAATTGATTTTAAATATCTAAATGGATTATGGAGAAATTATCCTTGTTTCAATGAAGAAAAACAATGCAAGATAGATAAAAACAATGAAATAAAAAAACCTGTTATTATTTCAAGAAAATATTTACGAAAAGTATTAAACTATATGAATGATGAAGTACGAAAGAACAATCGATATCAAGTGCGATCGTTTGAATTCTTTAACTAATGTAATTTTTTTTATTCGAAATAGAAATAAGTAAAACGATCTTGAAAAATGAGATTAATAATAAAAGCCGTAAACAAATACTTGAGAGTTTATCATCGAATGTAATTTTTATTAAACAATATGTTAATGGAAATGTATGTGTCAGGTGAAATATGTATTTCGAGAATGTAGGTGTGGCTAACTCTTGTGCCAGTACCGAATTCACATCCACAGCCACTTTTCTAAAAAAAACGAATATTGCTTCTTCGTCTTGTGTTTTTATCTTTCTTCATATTAACAATCTTTCAACTATATTATACATTGAATAGTTTATGACATTGACAGTTTCTGTATACACGATGTTTTACACTTAAAACAACTGTTTAATATGTCTTCGGAAAGAAAAATCGTATGCCATACTAGATTGGAACAATTTTTAACACTAAGATTCAGTTTTTTTTCTCGTAATATATGAAAAGAAAAAGAGATCTAAGAAATATTTTATTACTCTTTATAATATTCATAGATAAAGATGCGATCATTCAAATTAATTCGTACTTATTGATTTATGATCGTTAATGTTTTAACCTCAATAAGGTATCGCTTTAAGGGGAACCGCCCTTTCGCGACCAAAAATGATTAGATTTTTCATCTTTGTTTTTTATTCCTAATGTATATACTTCAAAGTATTCTGTATCTACTGGACATATTTCAAGAATTAATATATATATATATATATAAAAGCTGAAGAACTGAAAAGATGAAGCTGTTTCGCTGAAAAACATGAAAATTTACACATTATTTCGCTTTTTTTAAAAACTGACTTTTTTGACAAGAAAACGGTGGAGAACCGTCCCAATTTCGCAGCTACAGTACACCTCATCAAATTCAAACTTTCTTTTACTCTTACTAAAAGGTGTTTAGGGTGTCTACTTTCTTTTGTTTGAAAACATAATGGTTCGCTGTTTTTTTACCAAGTTTTACAAAAAAGAAATATCCATTTTTTGAGGATGCTCTCAGGATTTCGGCGTTTTTATTCAAATCGAAGACGATAACATCAAACTAAAAAATATAGACAATCAAAAAAGTGTCTAGTGTGCGCAAAAAAAAATGTGTAGTCCTATCATACGAACTATGATTGAAACAGGGAATTGGTAAGGGCAGTCATTTTTTGCTCTTCCAACCTCGATATCTTCTACAGTGAAACTTTTGAAAATTCTGAGTCGATATCCAACTTTTGCTATACTCATTGAGACCTATGCGGCCTGAAATTTTCAAGACTTTCTAATGATTAACTCTTCAAAAGTGTCAAAAAGCAAGAAGGATTCTCTTAATGAAAATATTTTTGTTCATCTTTTTGAAATAAATAAAATAAATAGTTTCAATGTCATGCACCCACAAAATTGAATGTTAGATATATAATATACGACTTATTCAAAATAAATCACGTATGAGTTTTTTATAAGACATGTTTGACAACGTCTATTTTCGATCAACATTAGAAAATATCATTTTTGAAATCACGCTCCAGGAATTAATGCATCCCCAGTATTTATGATGATGTTCATGAGCATATACGAATAGTTTACGTGTTTATATGCAAGAACTTGGAGTTCAAATACCTTTCAGTCAAGAACTGAACCTAATATAAGCTGTAAGAAAATATGTGGAGGCTTACGAAACTGTTTCCAGACATCGTGATATAGTGTAAAATAATCGAAAATCAAAATAATCTTCTTGAGCATTTCCTTGAGATGCTCCGTATATTTTATTCACAGAGAAGATGTGTTGACAAAAAACTAACAACAATAAAGCAATCCGTTATTAGGCTGACATCAATCAACAGTGAAATTTGAAAAATTTTCAATAGGTTTAAAAAAACCAATAAATAAAGTTTTTATTCGTTTTAAGGAATAGAATTAGTTAGAATGTTGCTCCTCCAAATCATTTAGACCATATGATTTGAGTTGAATAATGACTTGACAATTGTTCATATCATCAGCTAGATTCTGATTCTGACAATATCGTTGTTGTTGTTGTTGTTGTTGTCGTTGATATTGCTCAATATGTAATATATGAAAAACTTGTATTTTAAGTCGTTGAATAAATCTACGAATTTCATTTCGAAATGCTTTGCCCGATAAACAATAGATATAAAAATTTAAAGAACAATTAATTAAAATTGCTAATAAAACCCACCATGTTTCATGTGCTTCGACAGCACCAAAATGTCCAACAATATGTGATAAAAGTGATGCAAGAAAGAGAAATGAATGAAGAAGCAAAACTTTAGTCATCCACGATGCCGTTCGTGATTGTTTATTATGTGTTTGAGAGCCATTTATTTCATGTAAATGTTGCCATGTTCGAATAATATGATAAATTATATAACTATTAAATAGAATAACCGCTCCAGTTGGAATTAATTCTGAGAAAAGACAACGCATTGTAAAATGATTCATACCAAAATGAACTTCGTGAAAATATTTTTTCCATTTAACTGATGCTTTTGGATTCAATTCACAATATGTCTTGTTGATGTCCATTTTTAAATCCATTAGTATTTCGTTACTAAAATAATATGTGAATTATAGAGTAGATTTCTTTTTTGTTCTTAGTAGCGGATGATCGAAAAGTTTTTAGACAAGATGTTTACTCACTTTTCACTTGCTAGAAAGTATTTTTGATGAGTCAAAAGATACAAGTTACGACCAGAATTTTGTGCAGCTTAGAAATTTTGTCTCAGTTTTTGTTTGGGAGTAGTGAAATAATCTTTAGAGTAGCCAAAAAAAAAAGTTGGTTTGGATGTAAATTGTGGGCTGATGTTTCTAGTAAACATGTTTGTTCATTATGGCCTGGTTGAAAGCATTTCAGATGCGCCAAAACTATAGGTTGCGACCAAAATTTGAATATGAACTTAGAAATAGTGTGTACATTATTGTTCTAGAGTAGTGAGAGGCTTTTTGAAAGACTTGAAAAATAATGTTCAATGGTGAGCCAACAGGTTTTTGTTTACTCCATAAGTGCCTTTGCGAACATGCTAAAAATTATCAGAATCAGTCTTTTTGTAGAGCGAACACTTCTCTAAACAATGTAATAATGAACTAAGCTATAGTTTTTACCCAAGCATTTTTTCAGGAGCACCTTTCAATGTAAAACGGTTGTCGATTTTTCAAAAATGAGTATTTAGCTACCTTATCGAAAGATAAAACAACTTTAAATAGTGTAATGTGTGGAAAAATTTTCCGTCCAAAGTAGTTTTTTTGGGCTGCTTCAAGGATTATTTCATTACTCTCGAACAAAAACTGGAACTAAATTCCTAAGCCCCTATTCAAAAAGAACACAAAATTCTTATCTTAACTCATAGTTTTTAACTCGTCGGAAATATTTTCTGAGTAAGTCAAGAATAAAACAAAACATCTTGTCTAAAAACTTTTCGATCGCCCATTATTTTCAATATTTCATGTCACCAAATCCAAAGCTTCAGTCTTATCGAAGATTACTTCATTAGATTTAAAACAAATAACATTTGATTTTAATTTTTAGAAAATTTCATATCACAAAAGACATTTAATGCTTACATACTCAAGTATTCCTGGTTGAAACATATAAACAGGAGGTGCAATAACACAACCAAGAATAATAATAATGATGCTAATTGGAATAATAAATTTTAGTTTAAATGAATTCCATCGATTGAAAAATGTTCTTAATCTTGTTGAAACGCACAATAAACGTTCGAACATCCAGAATAATGTTATCCATGATGAAATAACTCGAAAACAAAATGAAAATTCATAAATTTTACAAGCCCACCATTTTTGTCCGACTAATTCATATAGAATATTTTGTAATTTTGAATTTAGAACAAAAGCATATCGTATAACACATAGAAGATTTGTTATTGAACTAGAAGTTGCCAAATAAGCATAGACCGATGATATTCGCCAAGTTCGACGACATAAAGAAAATATAAATAGTCCCAATATATTTCCAATAAATCCTAGAATAACTAAGACATCACATAAACTATCAACTATGCGTGCATGAAAAGTAGATGTGTTGACTTTGTGAAAAAGTAGAGATACATGTTTAGCATTGAACATTGTAGTTCAGTTAATCTGAAATTATACAAAACAAAACATATTAAAAGATGAATATTATTGTTATATCAAAACTTTTGTACAGACGGTTAGTAAGATAAAACAAAAATAATTTAAAGTTGATTGAATATTCGATGTCTATTACAATAAATAGGTTCGTATAATATACTATCTCATCTACTTATTTTTTCTTATGAAAAAGTTTGTAAATCTTATTTGGTTATTATTTTTAAAAAAGCTCAATGATACATTTTATCTCTGTGACATATAATTAATGAAAAGTAAATGTTTAACAAAATAACAATTTAAACGTGTTTTATTATACACTCATATAATCTTTCATCTTCCTTTACCTGTGTATTTCCTAGAAAAAAATACACTTAAATCCTTTTCTTCATTGTATCATCAAGTATTTCTATCGTTCTTTTGAATCTTATGTATTTCTCGTATGATTTTTTCAAGGTCTAGAATATTATAGGATAACATAATCTAAGAATAGTGTAATTTTTCATATATATCCGCATTCTTCAATACTAGTAGGAATAATACAATAATCATAGTAAAAACAATAGATTTAAGTTTTTTTTTAACCATATTCAATCTTCTCTCATACCTTCAGCAGTGTTGAATCTGCTGCTAAAACAAAAAATTCTCTCAGAATGGAGATAATTTCTTGAAAAAATTTCCTCTACTATCAACATAAAGGAAAAGCAGAATTCTCTCTTTTCAATGACACATTCGAAGAAAGTGAAAAAGAAATAGATTTACTTAACATACAAAAAGGTCATTTACAAAATCAATCTTTACTAATTAGTAATTAATAGAAACAGTTTTCACTGCAAAAAATAATGGGTTTTATAGTTATTTTGATACCTTCTAACAATAAATAAATCACAGAACCTTAGTACGAAACTTATACTCTTACTACTACAAGATAAACATTTCTTTATTCAAATTCCTAAACGAAAAATTTTCCTACAGCCAATACTTTGCCAAAATTTTCTTTAATATTATTCTTTGAACCATTCCTGCAATTGATAATCATTTCTGTATAGAATATCTTTGAGCATTGAATCCTTAATTATAATCAATAAACTGTAGTGCCGATATGACAGTTGAACCGGCAATGTATTCTTACACTGTGTATCATTTTTTACAATATTGCTCGTACATATGAGGATTTTCCTTTAAAAATTCGATCGGTAGGAGCAAGCGATATACGCTAATTTATTTCACTGTAGATTATTTCGTTCTTATATCGTACAACAAACTTCAAAGAACGATTTTCTTTTTCATTATATGAATATTACTTTTACTTGACATTCTTTCATCTATAAATATGCTCATTGAATCGAGCAACATTGATCGTTCATACAAATTTTTAAAAAAATGGACTTTTTTCAGAATAAACTATCATCAATATTTCATTCATATGTATATTCATCTATATGGATAAGCATATAATCAACAAACTATTTTCTATTTCAAATAGTAGAATTATATCAAAGTACCCGATGATATCGATCTATTTACAACTCTTAAACATGACAAACCAATTATTTTCATCAATCAGCTTACTGTTTATATAATAAAGTAACATTTATTAAATGAAAACCAATCCAAATTAATCGTTTACGCTATATTCTTATTTTTTTAAGACTAGCATGTTTCCTTCCATCTTGCACAAATTTTTTATGTTACTATTTGAAGTCAATATGCAAGTCATTATTTTAATTGAATCTTTCTATAAAAAAAAAAAAAAACTTTTAGTACGGACTGTTTCATTTTCTTGGAATAATGATGATTAATGTCGATAAACTGCTGTTACATGTCTTGGATGTGGCTATGACAGATTAATATTTATTATTATTCATTCTATGATTTTTTTTTTGCTAGTCTTTAAACAAATGCTTATAGTAACAATAAGTATTAAACGATCAAATGTTTATACAAAAGAACATTTGTTTAAAAAAAATATAAACATTCTATCATTTTTATTTTTTGTTCAACAAAAACAACTCATTGTAATTATTGACAATGATTATTACGTTCTTTCTAATGTGAGAAATTCTCATTGTTAAGACTTTCTAATGAGCTAAAAATATATATCATTTTAATCTTCAAGGCAACAAAATACACACTTGTTGATCTAATTTAATTCCTGTATTAAGATACGACATGCTTTTGAAAGTATTACTCAAGTAAAATTAATAAAAAGAACTAAACTGACAAATTCTATAAATAGCAACAGATTAGCATGTAGATATAAGACAAAAATAAATATATTCAATAATCTTATTACAACGTGATAAATATGACAACATTGTCCTTCGGATTCTGAAGAAATAATTATTGAGTATATTCATATCGGACAAATTTTATTCAGTAAACATAACAATCGAATGTTTCAATATGACAATGAATACTTCCCTTTTTAATATTAATGAGACTTTTCCTATTGAAATCGTATGTTTTCCTTTCTATAAATTCGAACATGTCCAACAATCATATAAAACTCATCAAGTTTTAACTCATTATTCACATAATGATATATATAGACCAGAATACTTTCTTCTATGCTTTCCAAATATGTAATGCATGTCAGTATGGTTAATATCATTGAGTTCATGCAAAATGTCCCAAAAGGTCTTTTCTGATCGGAAAGTTTTTTTTATTATTCTGTCTGGATTTTATTTTATTCCTTTACCTGAAATGTCAAACAATTACTTCCAATATAATTATTATTATAGTAGATTTGTTCGTAGAGATGGAGACAGTAGTGTTTGCGTACTGTGAGCCATTTTTCAGTAATAAATAAAAAAAATCCTTTCAACAATCAATTGCTGATTGTTTTTGTGTACAATAGCAACATGACTGTCACATGCTTTCGTTTTAGTTGCAAAGCGTTAAAAAGTAATAGAAAAGTATGACTGATTGGCTGCATCGAATGATAGAACATCAATTTTTCGAGTAAACAAAGATTCTTGAAATTATTGTTTATGGATAGTAAAAAGCAGGGAAAGCCCCGCATCATTATCCAAAAGAACACCAAAAGTTAAAGGAAGTGCTGAATACAAAAATATGCAGAAGCTTTCGCTATTGTCGACAAGAAGTGTGACCACAGTAGAGATTGAATCAGATTGACTAACTAACTCAATTTGCATCGATTAAGTTTAAGTCGAATAGAAAAGTATTTTGAAAGCACTCATGCATATCATTATCATGACCATCTCGCAAAATACAATATTCTTCTCATTGGAAATTGTATCGATCGATAACAATGTTATATTTGACTTAAGTAAATTTTCAATCATCTAATTAATGAAGAATTCATCAAGCAAGGTCATATGAATGCCGATGAAAGTGTTCTTCAAAATGAACAACAGATCAAACAAAAGTTTCATTTTGTACATATTGATTCAGTTGCCAATCAAATTGTTGACTAGAAGGTAGTCTATGTTCAGCTTAGTCTAGAGTGTAAACCGGAGACATCTTTGGAAGATTTCTTTGGCAGATTCTTTGAAGGTGAACAATAGTTTCTAGTTTTACACTTTCTTAATATTATCATATTTCACATATTGAATTTATTCTCAAACTGCGAACAATTTTCTAGGCTGAATAGACTCACTTAGTCAGTAAATTTCTTCTTAAATGCTTAAATGATTATACCAATATTCAATATCTCTATCCGATCATTATGGTTTACCGATTATTTCATCGAAAAATTCAGTCATCGAATTAAACGTGATAATTCTATTGAAACAAAATCACTGCATTATTGGACAACGGAAAGCTCTTCAAAGATTTTTTTCATGCTTGATATACATTGAGTTCGAGTGAAGTTCGCTATGGAGACTAAATGCTGACATTGAATTTGACTGCTACGAAAGAATGATTTGCTGACAGTACGAATGTTGTCATGCTTTTACGGAATATTCCAAAAAATGAAAGTAGTCATCTTCTTGTTTCGTATCAAAAAAACGATGACTGAATTACATAGTGAAGTTGTAGAAATATTTCGCATTACAATTGAAAAACTTCGATAGAGCAGAAACCAAACTCTAGCGAAAGCCATTAAAATTGTTTCAATCACAACATATTTTGTGTCTTGCTGAAAATGAATTGAGCAAGAAATAGACTGTTGACAGTCTGGTCATCAATTATCAATATGAACAATCATAAATATTATCTATGATTATGAAGAGATTGCGATCATTTTTCGATATATAATAACTTCTTTCGTCTTAATCGAAATCGACAAAACATTTTTTTGAGGGACTACCGGGACTTATTTTTTCGGGATTTATTCTTTCTAACGGACTTATTTCTTTATTGAGGATTTATTCTGATATATTAATATTGATGCTATCCCAGTATACTCACATCAACACCCACACCCACACCCTTATCCACATTCTGTATGTAGCGAGGAACTGTATGGGATTTATCTCAAAGTGCTTACGGACTTATTGAAAAATCCCAATAAATCCAGAAAGAATAAGTCCCGGTAGCTGCTGTATTTATCAATCGAATTTATTTAACAGTTAATCTTCAATAACTTATGAATGGTTTTGCTTATTCGTTTATATCAGAATTTATATTAACATTTTCTTGTGTTTCATTAATTGTAATAGGAAGATTAGTATCAATAAGTGAACAAACTTCTTTTGTATCTTCGACTGATGTATCAACTGATGATTCCATCGATACTGTCGCGGTTGCATCTTTTTTTTTTATAAGAATCACACCATAGTTCAATTATAATTTTAGGTGGAACATTATTACCAAAGATCGAATATAATTCTTGATGAATGATATGTGGATTAATGTTTAATGCAGTACGAACTCTCACATAAAAGCGAAAATTTCTTCCGTTAAACTAAGATAAAATATAAAGTTAAGATAAAATTGTATTGTGCTATTAAAATTAGAAATAGCTGTTTAATACAAATGACATTTACTTTAGTAGAAGAATTTGTTGAATCATTCATATCTTGACCTTTGAATAAAGTTGAATGTTGATTTTTGAACTCAAGTGCTCTACGATAAAGTATACCCAAAATTGATTGAGATTCGTATGAAGGATTTTTCATAAGAAAATCTGGATATTTATTGCCAACAATCTTTCGAATTTCTTTTATACGATTTCTATCTATTTGATATCCTGTTTTACCAGAATCGACTACAATCAATAAGTAAAATATAATATATAATCCAAGTTGAAAGTATAAACTCACTAGCAGCAGAGAACATCTCTGCCATTTCAACAGCCAATCTCTGACATGTTCTTTTTGGATGTTTTTCTTGATTTTGATCAACAACAATAGCATGTAAATTATAAATTTCACCATAACTTGTAGCACCCAACAAAGACAGACAATAATCTTTAACACTATCAGCAGTAATAGGTATCGAATCACTACTGGATGATTGTGTCTTATATTCAAGAGGTTCAATTGTTCCAGAAGGTTGTAATTGTTGACCCCAATAAACCTAAGAAAAACAAAATCATCATAAATGAAAAAAAGGAGAAAAAGAAACTTACAAAGTAGTGATCACCATCAAGATCAGATCCAGCAATTTTATTACAATCTGGTCCTATATTAAATTATACTTTCAATAAAATGAAAAATATTTATTACGACTTACGATAGCCTTGAGTCGAAAAGACAATTACATCTTTGAGACAATCAAGTTCAGGTAAATCGACAGCTTCCAATTTCATAATATCGCCGGCATAAGCACTAGAAATAAATTATTATATCTTGAATTTAGAAAACGAATCAAAATTATACCAAGGATTTTTTGTAATGATAACTGGTCCGACAACTGTTTTAAATTCTGGATTCTTAAGTGGTTTTCCATCGTCATCAACAACTTGATATCGAATAAAACATTGTCCTGACTCAAGTTTTGATTCTAACGTACAACCAAACATATATCGACATTCGTTCATAGGTAAAGGTAATTTATTTTTAAGAAGACCTCTATAGAACAAAAAGAACTGATGTTTTGTCAAATTGAAACGAATTGTATATATATCAGGCGGTCCAGAATAAATGGGTAATTTTTCATGTATAATTTTTTTGCATATAATCTCGATTAATATATTTTGATTTTCTCATGAAAAGATGCGCCATGAAATTCTGTACAAAATAGTATAAAAGTCAAATGTCTAGATTTTAGAATGATGAATGTTATATAATCAAAAGGAAAGGCTTGTAAAACATCGTACTTTCTAAATAACGGGTAATTCACCAAGGAAATGGTAGTCTCAATATTTTGTTGATATCTTTGCCAATTCTTATCACTCAGTCTTGGACTTTTCCCAAAACATTCATCGAAGAATTCTGCACAAAATGGTATGTGTTCCTCAACAATTATATTTCCTTCCATCAATATCATACCATGTAACAGAACAATAACATTACCTATGATTTCCAAAATTTTCACTTGTTTCAGTTGTGTTTTGACATACAATTTTATCGCTATATCATTGTAACTTTCTCGAAGCACACTTTCAGCTACTCATTAGAACTATAACATGCTAATTAATGCTATCCGAAACCAGTTGCTTCATGTGATGTCCTAAAACTGTTCTAAAAAGAGTCACAGTGATATAGCGATAAAATTGTATGTCAAAACACTACTGAAACAAGTGAAAATTTTGGAAATCATAGGTAATGTTATTGTTCTGTTACATGGTATGATATTGATGGAAGGAAGTATAGTTGTTGAGGAACATATACCATTTTATGCAGAATTCTTCGATGGATGTTTTGAGAAAAGTCCAAGACTGAGTGATAAGAACTGGCAAAGATATCAACAAAATATTGAGACTACCATTTCCTTGATGAATTATCCGTTATTTAGAAAGTACGATGTTTTTCAAGCCTTTCCTTTTGATTATATAACATTCATCATTCTAAAATCTAGACATTTGTCTTTTATACTATTTTGTACAGAATTTCACGGCGCATCTTTTCATGAGAAAATCAAAATATATTAATCGAGATTATATGCAAAAAAATTATACATGAAAAATTACCCATTTATTCTGGACCGCCTGATATATATGTATATATATTTACTGTTTTACTACGTGGTGGTTGCTTTTTATTGTTGAACCATTTTTCTTGTAGTTCAAGAAATATCGAGTCGTGTATGCCAAGATCCGATAATAGTATAGTGATTTGATTATTAAGTCGAGTTGGAACTATAACAAAATAAAATTGAACATAAGACAATAGAAAAAAAAACTGGAGCATACTCGGTTGACTTTCTTCACATATATCTAAATCCCATTCATCACAGTCAAATTTTTTCATTGATGGACGAATTTTAATATAGAATTGCTTTAAAGTAGAATCGGGATCGATAATAACAATACCTTTACAACCAGCTATTCGAATTTGATAAGCAGAAGGATATAATTCCTAATTAACAGATAGAAGAAATCAAGAGAAAAAAAACTAATAAATAAAGACACATACATTCTGTTCATATTTAACAAGATAATTAAGTCGTTCAGCAATTATTCTTGCCAAACCTTTAGAAATCAATCCATTTCCGTCTGTGAAATAATACTCGTTTCGTTTTATATCATTGATCTCTGTTACACATATATCTCCTTGTTGAACTCTTGAATTGAATTCTTGTGGATCCGAAATGTACATAAGTTTAATCTTAAAGAATAAACGTTTTCACTCATAGATCATTAATAAAACCAAATGACTAAAACTATTTACCCCAGTTGGATTACTCTTAGTAAACCATAGACCTAATCGTGCTACATATTTGCCAATATTAGTGATGCCACCAAAATCACCTAATTTTTGTCGTTTTTGATGAGCTTCTTCCAGAGATGTTGCTCTTATAAACCAATAACTATGTTCACGTAATTGAGAATTCGACGCACCAAAAAAATAATAATGATTATTACAAATTTCAATGCCGGATTTGAATACTTGTTGGAATCGAAGGCATTTATTGACATATTTGGCTGGTGGATCTGGTTTCAAATATATAAGACAAAAATCATTAATACCATTGAAAGCTTTATGTCGAAGAGCACGATGTCCTTGTGTTGCTTCTAGTGGCATAATACATGTTGAGGTTGAAGTAACATGAACAGCCGCCACTTGATATGATTGAGTTTTGTCCTTGATTAAAAAAAAAAACTTGAGAATTTTCTTTTTATATTTTCTATAGGTAGCTCACTGAATTTTCTACATCTTGCTGATGAAAATCGTACATGGCAGTGAATTCTTCATCATTAAAAACAGTTGTTAAATCAAAGGAATTATTTTCTTGAAGGTTTTTATAGGCATACAATGCTAATTGATAAAAACATTTATCATCTCGTTTAGCTAATTGAATCATCTTATTTCGAAGATTTTCGTTTGTTGAATAATTACTATCAAATATTGAACCAAGTGAATGAAGCAATTCAATAGCATATTGAGCATCAAATGTTGGAAATTTGTTTATAAACGATTTGGACCACATCATAAAAATACTGTGAAAAAATATAACAGAAAATACCAAGAATAAAATGCAATTGTATTTGATTTCTCAATAATATTTATAAGCCAAATATTGCATCTAGTGAGTAATTAAAATGAATTGGAAAATTCCAAATGTACATAAACAAATAAAACCTGGAATTTATTAACTAACTGACATAGTCAATGCATCTATATTTATGGCGACTGGGTTTTTTTTCATGAAGCCGTCTGCAGAGTTATTTTTTGTTTTTTGTCTAGCAGTCGAACGGAAGAAGATAATTGCACAACATGTTTGAAAGAACAATACCATATAAATTTCATACAGAAATATGCATGACAACAAATGTTTTCGCGAAAACAGAAAGTATTTTGTTTCTCGACAGCCAATCAAGATTTGACCTAAATGCAATAGTGAATGTGTGTGTGTGTTGAATAATAAACTTTAAATATGAGTATTATTTTCGTTTTTTGTTTTTTTATTTTTAATGGTGAAGTATATCTTTTATGATTGAATCGAAACAGATATTTTTCGTAGCTTGAATTTAATTTAGTGCATCATCAAAGTCGTTTCGTTTTCTGAACTCGAAAGTTAATTTGTGTTTCCATAACAAAAAATATATTCCTTAATGGATAGTCTATTAACTTGATATAGTTTAAAACAAACGGAGTTTTACTTTTTTTTTTTATCAATAACATCAATTTAAAATTATGGTGAACTATGATGAATCAATTTTAGCTTCATTTTCAATAAAAAATATAAAAAGTTGAGTTGTATCTACACGTTTTCTTTGTCTAATTGTACTTGTTTTATTTTAAAGATAATTCATGTCCCAAACAACCGTATGTTCGACATAATTTTGATGAAAGATGATAATTGCAAGTAAGAATCAAACTACATTGAATTTAATTAAGTAATGGATCACAAAACTGAAAAACAATTTGTTACTATTGTTCGATTTATCTTGATTTATGTATTTCAATATATTACATATGTGTGTCGTAGACAAAATTGAATTTAGGTAAAAAAAAACTTAGGCAAATTTTGTTTTTGATCGGACGGAAAACTACAAAAAAATATTTTATTATTTAAAATTAAATTCTAATTTTAATCTACATTAACACAATATAGTACACGTACTTGTTATTTGTAAATAGGCAGAGTATTCATTTTCACTAATTGGTATTTTAATATGCACATGACTAACATCTGCATTGCTATCAGAAAATAATATTGTAAAGTATTTTTCTGAGTATCTAATTGTGAGAAAAAAACATTTATTATTCTAATATAGAAAATACATAAACAAAAAAGTTCTTGATTGTTTTTTGGTTAGAATATAACTCACTAAAAGTTTATTCATACTTTACATATCATCTATGAGCCAGATCAACTTCAAAGATACAAGCATCAATGAAAAAAATACTATCCAAATCAACATAATCATAAAGATTCTTTCTTATTTTTGGTCGAAGCTTGCTAAGAGAAACTATGTTTCAATTGAATTTACTGGCGAAATCTATAACTTCTAAGATTCAAACAAATTTCAATTAAAGAAAATCATATCTCAATATAAATATATATAATATCAGTTTTTTATTCTCATCTTTTTCTATATGATTTTTGTTTTTTAGTCTTTTAAAAACTTTTTAATTTTGTCTCAATTTCAACCGTAGTTGACACATGTGTTATTTTGAATAACAAGAATAAGTCTTTGATGCAAAACTTCGAGAGTGCTTATATTCATACTGAATGTCAACATATAATGAAAAAGAAAAACACAAAATTACTTTTGTGAAAGAGATTTGCCTGTCATGTACAAGAAACTATATAGTTTCATCAAGATTATTTAGCAAAAAAAAGAGGAAATGAGATAAAGAAAAATGAATCGTTTCATAAAATTTCAAAAACACATAATGAAAATATATTTACAAGAAACTATCGTATTGCATAACAATGACAAAGTAAAAAGATATAACTTTACTTCATCGTATCAAATCCTGTTTGATTCTTACTTGCAAATTATCGTCCTTCATCAATACTGTATTGAGCATATGATTGTTGAAGATAGTTCATTAAAGTTTTCCATGAATTATTTTTATAATAAAAGAGGCACAACTGTAAAAAAAAAAGCTTAACAATGCCATATAATTTTTTTTAATATCAAATAAATGAATAAATCAGAATTATAACAATTTTTATAGTTGGTAGATGCTCTTAGAAATTTTATCATTTCAAAAATATTTGCACTTAGAATTACTGTTCTATCAATTTATCAGATTCATTTAATATCGTCATAGTGAAAAGACTTATTTGTATTGGTAGCTACGCCTTCAATACACAATGTCTTTTTTCCTTAATGATAATATACTAAGATAGATGCCATAGAAGGCGACAAATATCATTTTATTCTTCGTTTCATTGGGTGTGGGTGTAGGTATGCATATGACTGTGGACGTGTTGTTGAGATGACCCAACCTATACCTGCACCCAACACGGCACACTGACACCCACACCCTCATTTAAAAGATAGTTGATGAGTGAATTGAGTATCTTCGTATATTTAAATAAAAACTAATAAGAGGACAATATCAGAGAGCAAGTTTCGATAGAATGATAACTCATGGCATATTCGTTTGATTAGAATAAATGATAAAAAAAACGTAAAACAAACGACCTACGATGTTATTAAATGGTCAATTATGTTTTGACTACAATTTATGAATCGGATTTGAAAAAGAAATGAATACATATACCGTTTTCAGCATATACTTCGTCTATTATTTCAACTAGAATATTTCTTCATATTTCCATTTTCTCAATGAGGATTACTTCAAAAAGAGAAAAATGATAAAACTGTTCTTCTCTAGTAACATTTGTATATCAATTAAATCAAATCAACATTTGTGTATTTTGATCATCTAGTATACAATCGATTCTTCACGACGATCATAAAAAGTGTGGATATGGTTTGAATAATGAGAAGAAAATATACATTATTCGATTATAAAATGGTGATTTACACTTATATTAATTACATGTTAATAATTATAACAAATCATACTAGAGTAACATTGAACGATACAGTTTAAAATTTGATGAATAATTCTATATGTCAAACAAACATGAAATACAAAGTTATTTATTGTATATATCAAAAAATTTTTCACTTGTTTTCACAAAATTTTCTGCAGCTATCAAGATAGAAGAAGTAAAATTCGAAGAAATTTCATCATTTACTCGTGCATCGAACGACAATTTCTAAAAGAATTCCAAAGTTCTTGATATACTACTAAACAAGTTTCAGATAATTTCGATAATAAGCAATCCGCGAAAAAAAAAGAAATTTTTGACTATTTTCCGAAAATATAAACATCCAAAAAGGCATAATATCCACAAAATTTCTGCAAACTATACGTAACGAAAATTTTCACGTCAAGCATCGACCAAATTCCAGAATATTTTCGAGTAGACGGTTTCGATTCCTTTAATGAAAATTATCGTAACTTCTCAACTCTCTTGTTGATATGATTTTTCTGCAGAAACAGTTTTTAAGTTGTATCTTTCATGAGAGAAATTTACTTTTTTTTTTTGAAATTTGGAACATTATTACACTCGATGAGTGTCATATGTGATGCAAGTGAGATCAACTATTATCACTTTTGATCAATTCTTGCATTGGCTATCCGTTTCAAATGGCACTGATTTTCAAGGTATGTATGTCGTCTGATCGGTTTTTCTGATTTGTGATGAAAGTAGCAGCTCCATCACAATGTTAATCAATGCTGTTGTCAAGATCGATTATTTTAGTAACTAAGTATTGCGACAGAAAGACAAGAAGAAAAAAGTACATACATTTTGCGACTATTATACATACTACGCAATTTTATTTTCAATACAAAATTACTTCATAACGTATATATGTCCTTGTAGTCACGAATGCAATATTATACGTTACTGCACAATTTCTTAGAGAAGTAGAAAATGGTACACAGTGTGTATCGTAATCGCGAAATCGGCTCTTTTATTCGTTTCTATCGCATAACTTGCAGCCCATTACTTGTCGTGTGACACACAGTCCAAGATAATTGTTTTATTTTCGTTGTCTTCTTTGGTTAGAAGTACTACAGATGCGCAACGTAACAAATATTGAAATGAAAGGAAAGACATAAATTCTTTGTCATCCGTCACAAAGAACAGTCAGTAATCGGTACTGGACAAGTTAAATGGTAGAACTCAATGCGATTCACAGCATTCTTTCATCAAGTATCTATATCGTGATATCACCCATTTTGAACTGAAAGGAAGTGCAGCCTTGCGTATGGTCGTATTCTTCGACGATATGGATGTCAGTGGGTGTCGATGAGTGCGTGAAGATGAATGTAGGTGTTGGTCTTCTCTTCATGCACAATTTCTATTAAACTTTAAAACAAATATTTCTCTACAAAACAGTGTATTGAATTTAGATACAAATTTTGAACGATTATCTAGAAATTGTATATAAAGTAAATTGTAAAACATTGTTTATAATTACCATTAAAATTTTCTCATGTACAATTAATGTATCTGAATATTTTGGCAGAAAACGATTCCATTATCTGTGACAAGGATTGACGTTATTTTTTCCAATTTTGAACAATATTTGTGAGAGCTATTCTGCGACTACATCTCTCACTCGATAGATAGATCTTTTGAATAAAAAAGCAACTTCAAATTGATATGTGTTTATGAACTACGTGTCCTAATATTAGAGTCATTTCATTAAATATTTGATCTATAGATATGATATTGACAAAAAAAAATGAGTTCTAGAATTTTTTAATTGACATTTTACGTGCAGATAGATCTAATTACTATTGAATTTGCATGAAATTTTCATCAAAAACAAATTTCTTTTCTTGATGTATTGGATTTGCAAAATAAATAACCATTAGTCTTAGAAAGGACACAATTATTTAATCCAATCATAAATTCAGTATATCATGAAAGGCATATTTTGCTTTTGCTGAAAGTATCAGGAAAATCTAATAACATTTAGATCAATTTGTGAGCAAGATCTCAGTAAAAAACATTTTTTATCCCATCGAGATTTACCTTACAGCCAAAATATGAACTGAGAGTAGAGCTCTCATAAATAATTATTTTTCTAAGATGGAAAAAAAAGGATTTTTGTATTTCAGAGAAAGATAACACGTCGAACAATATTTCTAAAGTTTCTTTTCTGAAAGAAATCTTGACGATGATAATTTATCCTTTTAAATGAAGATGATCGAATGAACTTCCGAATAAAGAGAGAATATAAGTTAATTTTAGATTGTTTGTTTTCTGTTTTCAAACAGTAAATCTCTTCAACGTTATCTATGGTTTGAATGAATTTTACTATGAATAAGAGAAAGACAGAGCATTTCATTTTACCCGCAGAACGTTTTTTGATACATCTTCGTATTTGCTTAACCTATATCGAAGCACTGAACATCGATGAAAAAAGAGATTTATATTGAATATTGTTCAAAACGTTTAGAATATTTCAGATTACTTTCTACACATAAAATCATTCAATGGCGAGATTGAACAAAAGGGATATCGATTATTAATTTGTCATCGATTTCGTCTGCTTGTCCTTTATTAGATGTGTTTATATTCGATAAACATTAGTATAATGCTGCTTTTTATTTTCTATATGCGAAAGTAATCAACTCGCAGTCACTTCCATTATGTTCTTTGTATAGTTCGATTCTATTCATATGTGAATGGTTGAAAAGAAAAAAAGAGTGATGGAATAATAATCGTAGGTGCAATTATTTATTGCTATGGATTGTATTAATGAGAGTTAAGCTTGGTAGCAACTAAATTTAAAGACAGAACACGAAAAACAAGTAGGACAAATTCGAGAAAATATATGAAGATGAAAGATATATTAAAATAACAATCATGAAATCACAACAAACATCTTCTTTCGAAGATCAACGTAAGTCAAGATAGAAAACTTATGTGCACTAAATTCAACAGCTAATAGTGTCCATAAAAATACAAATATTCTGCAATTTCCTTCGTGATATCAATTATGGGTCTATGATGTTTCGATAATCAAATTTTGCCCATCTGAATTTCGACAATATTCAAAGCAGATAGGATGCGGATGCGATTAAAGAGAAGACCTACCAATCCATACCCACACTCACACCCTAACAGTTAAATGAAAATTGTTGTTAGAAATAGTTTAAGAATTACAATGCAATATTTAGAGCGATTGTGTGAGCAAGAAACATTATCATAGATGGATAGGATTTTGGTAAACTGTTGATACTGACAGTAATCACGCTATAATTTTATCATGCTTGATCTATTTTTAAATACAAATCATTTAACATCAATCAAATCTAGTTCGAAATCAGTTATTCTAGTATCTGTTAAGTAGAAGAAAGCACAAGAGTGATAATAGTCAGTTGCATATAGTTCAAAAATGCATCAAGAGGATTTATCTTTATTGCATACTTTTAGAAAACGATATTTCAATGTCAAACATCAATAATCATTTATCAACAGAATCTCCAAATGAATTATCAACGACGGAAAGTGGGAAAAAACTGCATCGTCGTCGTTCAATCATTCATGAGTTTGCCACAAACACAACTATCCATGGCCTTCCGAATATTATTAACAGTGAAAATGTGCACAGTCGAATTTTTTGGGCAATCTCATTTGTTGCTTTCAGCTCTTTAATGCTCTATTTTATTGTTAAAGCGATTTTAGAATATCTTCAATATCAAACACAAACAGATATGAGTGTTAATGTTGAATGGCCACAATATTTTCCAGCATTCAGTATTTGTAATGCTGCATCATTTCGTTACGATCAATTCATAGAACCGTTTCTAAACTATACAAATACACTAAATTTAACCAATGAAAATAGTATGAATGCATTATCTCCACTTCGAATTCGAAATTTTATACAATATAAAGTTAATAGAAATGAATCAATTGCACAATATTCGTTTTCACTTTATTCGATGCTCTATCAATGTTTATACGATTCTATGCCTTGTTCAAGTGCTGATTTTATTCCATTTGTCTCATCAACATATGGTCTGTGCTTTACATTCAATGCTAAAATGAAAAATACTAGTGTTGGTGTACGATACGGAAATCAATATAGTGGCACTGGTCGACTTAATTTAGCTTTTTATGTACATAGTCAACAATATGTGCCATATGTTGTAGATAGTGAGTAGGCATCAAAGATATCGAATCAAATATTAGGGTCTTGTCTTTACGAAAGGCATTGGCATGGTTGGTCTAGTACACGACAATGCACAAGTACCACTTATTGATGCAAATGGCATAGGATTGGCACCAGGACGGAAATACAAATTGAGTTTTACAAAGAAGACAAATTTCTTTTTATCTTCACCATATACTTCATGTACTGACAATATACCTCTTTCGATGAAAGTAATGTTTAACGATTATAATGGTGCTGATTATAGTTATTCGCAACTCTCATGCTATGAACTCTGTATGCAAGCTTACACGTAAGTGTATTTAGGAACAATTATTGCATGTATCTCACTTATGTCGAAATAAAATACTTTTTATGCAGGTATGAACAATGTGGCTGTATTAATCCTTATTTATGGAACGTTCGCTACATTGTTTTGCCAGACACAAAAAACGTCATCTTAGCGCCTCTTTGCAATTACACTGATTCTTGTTATCGTCGAGCAACTGATACATTCACGGCATCATCATCATTCATTGAACGATATTGTCCGGATTGTACATTGCAATGTTCTCTAATAGACTTTCCTCTTAAAATATCTTCGTTTATAACACCATCTGAGTGGCAATTAAATGGAATTAAGGCATTTGTTGAAAATTCTTCAGTGCCATTACCATTAGATTGGTCCACAGCCTGGCGTACGCATATTCAAAACAATTATGTTGCTGTTAGCGTCGTACGTGAGGCAGCTTTCGTCGATATTCAGATACAGCAAGCGAAAATCACTTTAGGTGACGTTATATCGAAAGTTGGCGGTCTAACTGGTCTATGGCTCGGTCTTAGTTGTCTCTCAATAATGGAATTCATTCATATGCTCTATCGACTTATTCATTATCAGTGTTACTTAATTCTATCAGTAATACGAAAAAAGTAATAGCTAATGAGACAATAAAAAATTTTTATCGTTCATCATATTTTACAGAATGAATATAACACGATTTCTATTGATAACAAATGAAATATCCCATCGTTTTCAGTGAAAGATAGAACTGTTAAAAGCTCGGCTCCTTATACATTGTTGAGCACATTCTAGGTGTTAGGATGCGAATGAAGGGAATATCCATATCATTAAAACATTTGTTTTGAGAGTTTCTTTTATCAGGGAAAACAAAGCTTGACATTTCTTAACAGGTAAGGCCTGTTGGATTTATTTTTCTTATGTATGTATTCTAAAGTTCGAAACGCTTTTCTTTTGCGGCGCGATATATCAAGTTGCTGGGTATAATATTTTTGCGCAGTTTTCTCCAACATCGATCGGCATACCATTTTTCTGGTAATGAGTACTGCTGTTGTGCTGTTGAATCCACCAGCAATTGCTTCATAGCTCAATTTTCTCCTCGTACTCGTCTCGAAATAGGCCCGATCAGACTATGGGAAACAATTTCTCAAAAGAGTCTCGAATCAACTTATTTATTTTGATTTGATGATGCCGTGGGCTCATCTGAATCCGTTGATGTGCTCAACAGATTGCGCTCAATCGTTGATTGAATGAATATATTTAAAAGTATCGATGCATGTGACGAGAAATTTTTACGAAGCAGAAAATGAAAAAATATAAGATCTTTAATTGTAAATTATACTCAAAGTCTGTTTTTAACACTAAAAGTGTATGAGCACAAGCTGTTTGTTGTTCACTTGTGCGTGAAAACGGTGACCATATCAACTTGGTTTGAAGAAGAAGCGCGAAGAAATATCTAAGCTATGCTTATAGGATTATTGGATTCGTTCAGTGCAGCCAAACGCTGTTTTGAAAACGGTGTTCGATTGTATACAAGCATTGATGATGCAATTGTGATAGATCTTTCTGATAATGATGACAAGTAGTATCAAGAATGATTCATATTGAATTTGGTGATAGTCAATCTTAACACTGGCAATGATCGCAATAGTCAAACAACATGAACGCGTTTTATTATAGTGTGTTCAGAATACTATTTTATTTATTTTGAAAAAGCCTATTTCATCAATGAATTTGCTTTATTCAAAAAAGCGAAGAAATAATTCTTTTATATTATTTGCGTGAGTCTTGTTTCCATTGTCTTCATTCGACTGAATTCATTAGTTACAATAGATGATCACTCACATTGCGCGTATTTGCCCAATGACATTGAGCAATATTTAAGTAAAAATAAATAAAATATCTGATAAAAAAAATTGTTTTATTCTACATCTTATTAACAGAAATGTAAGTTTGATAATGAAGCTACTGTTTTACACTATCGATCTATACTTTTCTTTCATGCTGCTGACTTAAACAAATACAATAGAGAATCGACGTATCCAGCAGCTACAAAGCTCATGACAACATCACTGGAACTTGAAACACTTACCTACGTCTCAAATAGAGTGAGATTGAGTGAATGAATGACGACAATGATCTTCTCTTCGAACTGATTCTCTTCTTTACTCTCTTTCTAATTCAGACTCACGTAATAGGTCCAAATTATAGCGAGCCTGCTATACAGTGTATAGCCGCTGGATACTCTGATTCACTGCAATATTGACTTATGTTTGCAGCATGAGAGAAAAACGTAGATCTATGGTACAAGACAGTAATAAAAATCGTAATTATCGAAGGAGAAAGTGCAAATGAAGTAAAAACGTGAGACAGAACAGCGCAAAAAAATCGAATGCAGTCTTTTTTGCGTTTTTTCTCCTACTTATATACATTACGGCGATGTCATACAGAATCAGAAAGACAAGCACTACTTGTAAGAGTCGATCATTTCTACAAGATATACCTTTTGAAGAAAAAGAACACGCAATCTTTGCATCAAGAAATAAAACTTTCGACCGCCTATAAAATGTCAGATGGCAATTACTGGAACGGTACGTATATTTTGTCAGATGTACAAGAATAATTATCGATGCAACTTTTGTTTGTATGTCGAATTCTAGAGGAACTATTTGGCTGTTTTAATGATTGCAGCATCTGCTGCTGTGGGTTTTGGTGTCCTTCATGTCTATTCGGCTCAAATGCTAGGAAGCTCGATGGTAGTAACTGTTCGCTTATGTGTTGTGTCTATTGGATGTTAGGAGGTTCTGGTCAATACTGGTTGCCGCACTATTTCAAACGAGAAAAATTACGAAAAATGTATGGTCTTAGAGAAGGCTCGACATGTGGTGATGTTCCGGCGACATTGTGTTGTGGTCCATGCGCACTTTGTCAAGAGGCTCGTGAAATGAAATCAAGAAGTAAGTGTGTAGTATTTATGCAGATTTGCAAGAATTTCTACATTTAGGTCACTATGCAGGCAAAAGTCGGGATGCAGATCACCAGACTACTAGTTTTTCTGTTTTATATCAACCAGCGCACATCAAACAACCTCCGCAAGAGGTACTCGAATCACGTACTTTTTAAACGAACAACTGCTGCGTGTAAAGAAAATTCAATGGCATCAACAAATATCATCATTATTGACCTTTTTTTGCTCTCGTTTATTTTGGCAGTGACTCTTCTTATCTTCACTAGTAATCGATCAGTCTCATATTTTAGTCTTCTCATATTACTCTCTCTGTCTCACTCCAGCTTATTCCAGCTGATGAAAAAGATGTTTAAATTAAATGTTTTTTTCTCACATCATATTTAACGTGGATTAATACAGAAAATAATGATAAAAAAGACAACATACTTTGATTTTTTTATAGAAGGAAAAGTGGTTCACACATTGAAAGCTATTCAAAAAAACTGCTATTCTAATTACAAGGTAGACTGAATGAAAAAATTATTGTCGATTTGAGATGATGAAAGATATGTTCGACGGTCTATCACAAATCGACTATCTCTGTTGGACAGCTTTCTCAAAGCAGATGTTGCAACTGGTCTAGCATAGAGATGTCGATGGGCAACCAGTAAACTCTTTCCTCGTTATTTACAAAATGACAAACGAGTATCTTCACTTTTGCCTACACCGAAACGAATAGTTGGGACGCAAGAAAACTGAAGAATGAAAAATATTTCAACCACTTCTAACTCGAGACAAAAAATTCGTAGTAAAAGTGGAAAAAGTAACTGAAAATCAATGTTAGTCTCGAAAGAATTGTTTGCTTCAATAACGCTGTCAGCTCGATATCATGTATGAATATGGCAGACCATCCACATGCCCTAGAAAATTGAGCTGTAATGATAATGCGATAAGAAACTTTTAGTTTTGGAAAGGATCCACATCACAGGCGTTTTAGTAAACAAAAGTTCATTTGAATACAACGAAGGGTGCTTATGTAGAATCGACATATTGCTACAAAGTCTTCGTTGAATTAGACAAAGCTCTTGGCTAAGAAAGAAGAAGCTTCATCGATATTATTCAATCGTACTGCTCCCTCTATATCGTGGTGTACAAAAAAAAATGATTAATTGACTCACTGATATCTGAAATAAATACCTATTTATGTCATATTCTCTCTTTCGCTGAAGACAATATACTACTGCACTCGAGACAAGTATTTTGTAACGTGCTTCGAAAGAACCACTTCGAGATAGGTCTACGCAAAGTATAAGAGACTGACATGATTTATTCATATTCATGAGTACTAAAAACACGTAACGTGATATCTAAATTGCTCGCATCGGAATATTTAGTAAGCAACAAAAATCAGATGCTCTTGTATACTGTTATTTCAAATGAGTGTCCGTATATTGTTCGTTTTTTGACCAAGTTGAAGAGCCACGAACATTAACAAACATAAATTGACAACACGGGGTCTACATGAAGTTGTTGTAAACGATTGTCAAGATTTGTAGATATCTATATTCAATACCCTAAAATTTCCATTCACTGGTACTACCAGTATTTTATAGTACAATGACTTCTATGTCATTAGAGATCAAAATAATCACACTGGTTGTGAAAATGAGTTGTAATAATAAGTTTGAAAATAACACGAAATATTTTCCCCTTTCAGTCAGATGCACATTCTCTCAAAAGGTAGTGCATGATAATCATTTCAATATCCTCTGTCTAGACAATTTTTATGCATTCAAATAGAACTAGCTGTATGTTGATTTTTATGAGGATTTTCATCACCGATGTCACAAAAATCAGAAAAACATGTTTTTAGACTATCAACCGATGTCACATTTGACAAAACAAGGACAAAACAATACTTTACCTTGGATTATCAACTGATTGTTGAAGAAAAAGGTCATAGATAAATAATATCAATAGTACATTCGCTCTTAATCTGATTGAAAGATCTAGTAAACCTGCGTGTATGCCATCCCTCGATAGAACGAGAAAGATCTTTCAAGCGAGGGTTGGCCATGGATGAGACTCTATTCGAAATGAAAACAGGAGTAGCATCTGTGAGTGTCTAGGTAAGTTTTTATTTGTGTGTATAATAGGACCTTTCTTGAGTATCACGATGGATTTTTTTTTCTTTTCTTGCAGCAACTATATGTGATTTGATTTTACAGAGATATCATTGATGAATACACTAATCCCATTAACCATTCTCCTTCGACTGAAGCTTTTTCTTCGCGTTTTCATGAGCAGACCATTATTTAACAGAATTTTTAATAGTCAGAAAAGGTTCATAAGAATTATGGCATATGCTAAGATTCAATTGAGATGGAACTGTCTTTATATTAATGGAAGTAGTTATAGAGAGATGGAATTTGTCTGATTATGTCAATACTCAAAAAATAAGCACCAAAAGTCGATTAATTGAACATGACGATCAAATCCAAATTTTATTTGTCTTCAGTGAAAGTACTGTCTAGTTTGTTTAGATAAAAACAAATCATGTACGTGATATTCTATATATTGTTCATTTTCAAACTCACACTATGTTCTTCGATGCAAACAAAACCACCGTTATCATTCGACGAATTTTTTGATTACGCACATTATCCATCGTTGAGTTTTTCGCCAACTGGTAAATACTTGCTTATTCATACTAGCCGTCCACTATGGAATTCAAATTCTTTTGAGAATAGTTTATGGCTATATGAAATTGAAAATCAACAAAAAAAATTAATTACAAGAAAACTTTTCGGAGCTTTCAAACCACAATGGTCACCAAGTGGAAGTTGGATTGTATTGTTACTAGACGAAAATTCAGATATAAATGCGAAAAATGCAAATCATCTTTCAAATATAGAACAACGGATATATTTGTTTTCAATTGAATCAAACGAGTTATTACCGATTGGTATTGGTGCAACAATTCCTTTGACTATAACATGGTCCGAAGATGATTCTGCTCTTTATTTCACTGCATTGACGTCATGGCCAACAAAAGATGAAGATGATTTAGATGAAACTGAATGGAAAGATGTTATACAATATCGAAAACCTAAAACTAAACAAGGCAGTACAATATATCGTATTGATATTGATATGAAAAATCAAATATCACCAACAAAAATTGAAATCATTCGAAATGTTTCTTTTCTTATTGGTGAACTATTATTTGTTCCATCCGAACAAAAACTTATATTGACATCAATAACAGACATATTGGAAAAGCTAGACAATAATGAAATTTATTCGATTGATCTACAAAATGTATCATCACTGGTACAATTGACATACAATGAAGCAATTGAACGAGATTTACAATTATCAAGTAATGGTAAACAGATTTTATTTCAAGTTTTTACCTTAAGTTCAAGTAATGGAAAGTTTAATGATACTCAATTACGATTGTATTCTGTTGATATAACAAATGGACAAATTGAACGGTTGGGAAATGATTTTGATGGTAATATCGTGGGATATACGACGAAAACCGATGGTAGTATTTATATTCTTGGACAATGGGGTACGGATGTTCAAATCTATTCACAGCAGTCATCTATGGATAATTCGATTCAACATCGTGGCTGGAGTGGTACATACGAATCTATTGCAGTTTCTAGATCATCTAATCAAAATTGTTCTATTGCATTTATTTATTCATCACTTAGAACACCAAAAGAAGTTTATTGTGTTGACAATATTGATCAACTTGCATCGGCCAATGCAATTACAAATGAAAATGGTCTTTGGACGCAACGTATACTACCTGAATCGAAAAATTTCTATTGGGAAAGTGATGAAGATAATAGAACAATCGAAGGAATTTTACATTATCCACCAGGACAATTTGAATCAACAAATTTGCCTCTTTTCCTCCTGATTCACGGTGGTCCATATGATGCAAGTCTCAATCATTTACAAGGCAATGGTTACTTTTGGGCTCCATTAGCAGCCTTGAATGGCTGGTTAGTCTTAGAACCAAATTATCGAGGATCAACCGGATATGGTGATCAGTTTCTCAGTGAAGTTCGTTATCAACCTATAATCCGACCTGGAATTGATATTCTTTCAGGTGTTGATCGTTTGATTAGAGACGGTATTGCTGATCCGAGCAGACTTGCAATTGGTGGTTATAGCTATGGTGGTGTTTTAACAAATTGGCTAATTACACAAACAACACGTTTCAATGCTGCTGTGTCTGGTGCAGGTGCAGCCGAACATGTTTCTACCTGGGGTATAATGGATTGGCCGATACATATAAACTATTTAATGGGTGGTTTTCCATGGGAAGTACCAGATGTATACCAGAATTCAGGCCCCGTGTATTACTTAGATAGAGTTCGTACACCAACACATCTTGTTACTGGTGCAAATGATGTTCGGGTTCCACCTGCTCAGAGTTACATATTAGAACGTGGATTACATAGTCTGGGAGTACCAGTTCAATTACTCATTTTTCCAAATGAAGGACATTCAGTGATTAATAGCAACGAACCTTGGTATGGGAAAATCAAGGTGCGAGAAGAACTAAAATGGTTACAACAATACGGTCATCAATCTTGGATTAAGACGAAATGAAGAAATTGAACTATTTTTTGTAATATAACACGCTATTTAGTACAAGTAATAATTGCATGAATTCAGATGGACAGTATGATTAAGTTATTTTTGATAGCTATTTATTTACTATATCCTTGCAAATCTGAAGAAATCTTTTATTTTTATGTGATCGGATAGAGCATTAACTACTCTATCCAACTGTAAAATTTTCATTTGCTTTATTTTGCATCTTGTCAAAAAATTAATAAATATCAAAAAATGATAAAAAAACCCTTTTCTCTTTGAAGTTTCTGGGTTTGTTGTCGCATAATTATAATCTACTGAGCAAATAAACGAGTGTGTGAGTCTTCTCATAATCGACACCCATACACCTACAAAAACTTGAGATTATTCTCTAGTTTTTTACTCTGCAACGAATTGAATATAAGACAATGTTTATTGAATAAGTCTATCAACATGTCAACAAAAAAAAGTTTTATTATACACGCAGCAAAAAGGTACCACAACTAGATTATGTCGTAAATTATTTTTTCATTATCCACTTAATCTTTTTATTTTGCACTTTCAGCTAGAGATCAATGACAACATGACTCTACTTAACTTATACTTTCCGAAAATCATGCTTTTTTCCCTAGATTACTGGATCATTATTCAACATTCGAAAGTATGTCGAGCAATTGATGGTCAAGTGTGAACTGACTACATGCAAGTATACTTTAAACAAGTTAGGTCAAGACGATTAGATCGCACTGTATTATGTTCAACGAATGAGAAGAAAAAAAAGAAAATATTTAAAAATAATTTAACGACAATTAAAATCAATTGCCATATTTTCACTCATAAAAATAGATGAAAGGATGAAGAATAGACTCGCCTACATATTCATAATGTGTTGCAAAATACGATCTATTTTTATTGAATGTATATAGAATTGTTCTCTTCAATGTAGATGGCATATTCATTTTCAATATTTATATATTTTCGATATTATTCAAAGTATAGATGTTTTATTTTAAAAGATATTAATAACAAACAATGCGAGAAAGATTCTACAGGTATCTTACAATAAACTTGTTTATGATATAGAATATAAACATTACAACATATTGAAATTAACTGTTACATAATATTTGCTTTAATTTAATGTTTATTTTTTGTCGTCAGACACGATGCTATTGACTAATGAATCTAATACTCGTTTTGGACAACAACAATAATGTTTGCGTGAGATCCAACATAAAAGACCATCGCCTCTATCACTTTCTGCTGCTTTGAAACATCCATCAGGACATGAATTACCAAGAAAACAAAATGGAGCAATACCATACCATTTACAGAATCCATTGGTAGACATTGGAGTGATAATTAAAAGAAAAAGACAAAAGAAATATGTGTTAAACAACATTGTTAGTACGATTGTATTGTAATCGATTGTGTTATTTCGTATGAAGAAAAAGAGAATATCGTCACAAACCTATCTGACTTCTCATATAATAATAAGCTATCTTGCAATTGTATTTTATTTACTCATCGTATTCTGCTTCTTTCATCTCTCTTTCAACATTCTCTGCTAAGATACAGAATAGCAAAAGAAAAAAAAAATGTTAATATTAACGTGTGATAAGCGAATCAGAAAAAATAAGACGAGATCATACGTATATGTCAGTCAACCAGTATAACTATACACTTGTTCTTTTTCTATAACTGTAATACATATTAACTTATACGTGACTTAATGCCACTGTTAAAAGTCATCAAACACTTGTCTAACTACGCTTATCGTATTCATTCATGTGACTAACTTTTATAGGAAAATTTTATCAATATAGAAATCTATTCATTTCAAAAGCTGTCTAAGTTTCTATTTATCACCCTAATCAATTTGAAAATTTTGCTTAAAGAATTTGAATCATTCGTGATTGATTTAGCGCAAGTTTTTATTGGCTTTAATGAATGCCGATCGAAACTATTGTTGTTTCATACCGATCAGAATTCCAAAGCAAAAAAAAAGTGCCATCGAGTTCATTATTAGCAAAAGTATGCTCAAGAGTGTGTCGATAATCATATCATCCTTTACGAGACATTACTTTAGCTTGATATAATTGTTTCTTTTTAATGATTCAACAATGTCTAGCCATAGTCATGTAATGATAACTATTGTTTTCTTTTTTCTCTCTCCTGCTGTATGCTCCTTCATATTCTCTCTATTATCCGTTCTTCTGTTCATATTTGTTCTTCATTGCATTCTCTTTCTCTCTCCTAAAAAAACCTATGTTGTATATAAAGTAGTTTAATAAACATCATTATCGAGAGTGGCGATTAGCTACTCTTCCAGTTTGTCGTTATAAATACATTTTTGTTTCTTTCAGATAATGGGTTAATTTTATCTATTGTATACTTCTTATCATCATATACTAATCATTACATGTGTTGGGTAATGTAGTCAAATAGATGCCCTATATCGAAGTCAAAAGATGGTATGCATTTAAAATCTGTTCAAAAATAAAAAATATATTGATCGATTAGATGTGATTATCATGATACAATCAGATTAAAGACGAGTATTTGGAATAGCATCGTTCATTAAATTTCTCATTCATGATATCTATTAAAAACAAATATATATGGAGTTGGCCAGTCTGGCCGGACACCCGAATTTGCTTTCGTTCTGTTATCAGTTAATAACCTAACCTTATTCGAGTCAAATTATCGCTCTCATCACTAAACTACTAAATCTAAAATATTAGTTGTTGATGGCTGTCTTATAACGAAATTATTCAGTCCCTTAAAAACGATAGGAGATAGTTTCAGGGCCAGAATACTTTCGTTATAAAACAGCCATCAGCCACTAATATTTTAAATTTAGTATTTTAGCGATGAGAGCGATAATTTAACCCGAATATGGTTAGGTTATTAACTGATAATAGAACGAAAGCAAATTGGAGTATCCGACCAGACTGGTCAATCCCATATATATACTGTATTTTTATTTAGTACCGATTGATATCAGGCCACTTGAGAATATATTTTTCTCATTAACTTATACGAAAATATGAAGAAAGTAAACTTTCACAAACAAATAAATTAAAATTAAATAAAGAAATCTATTTTTAAAAAACAACTTATGAACGTTCAATAACTAATAAGTAATATTTTATGAAAAGAATAAAATTTGTAACTATTCCTTGTTAACATTTTGCAACATCTTTTAATTACCAATTAAACTAATAACTTAAATTAGTTTTTCCTTAATGAATATCACTTACAAATATGAATGTATTATCTATTATCGTCATTCGAACAAATATCACATTTCAAATAGATAGATTGTGTTCGATCTTCATTCATAAAATACGTTTTATGATTATGCTGAATCCTTGTTTTTTTTTTATTAAATTTATTGCTCATAGAAATTTTATGCAAGATGTTTATAAAACGATAAAGTGACACATTAAGAATGCCGTTTTTGTCATCATGCATACATCAATGTAGTCTGTACATACGTAATTAACTATTCTCGTGTTTATTTTCGTGATAGATCAAGAATGGAAAGAACCGACAGTCAATAACATTTATAATTAGAAAGAGCAAAGTGAATCAATCGATCGATATTAGAGCAACATTTTTGTACTACGATATTCATTGATTAGAGAACTATTATAGAGTATTTATTTGATTAATTGAGACAAAAACAAAAGAAATAAATGTACGAATTTATTCACGAATATTATGTTGTTAGATAAACATTATTAAATCTTTCGGACTAGCTAGTCAAATGAGAAAGCTAAAAAAATACGTATATTTGCGGAGAATTAAAAAAAAATATCATACGTTTAGTTGCTAAGCGTGTTTCGATTCATTTTATCTCTTTTGCGAACATGCAAGTTATTTGAAATATTAACAAATTTTTTTCGCATATGTGACAAAAGTATATTCATAGAGGTGCGTGCTGCAAAACACATGTATTCAAACATAATTTTTTTTCAAGTTTGTCACTAAAACATACGAAATTATGCACAGTTCTTATGGCTACTTCTCATTTGCGATCATAAGTCAAATAAAATTTTAAAATATTATCAAAACTTTAAACTTCCGTCAATAATAAAGTTAAGAAATTGAAATGCTTTGTTTTGTGAAAATCGACTAAAATTTTACTATTTTAATTTTGAAGTTTTCATTGCTAAGTCATCATATTTAAAAACTTTAACTGTCAATTCAAAACGTATTTAGTTTAAGAAGATGTAGAGTTCACTCTTGTTTTCTTTTTTACCTTATTCTTATTTCTTATTTACAAAATTGTTTCAGATCATTTATTGTTTATGCAGAATCTATATGCACTTTGAGAAAATCTTTCGTTTCAACAATGATTGCTTTATAGCAAAGCGTTGCTTTAGATACGATACATTTTTACATATGTTACACTTTGTTGAACCTCTACTATTGACGCGCACGTTTTGGCAAAATTTCTTTCCTAATTAGAACTGATTTTTCGGCAAAGTAAAATGTAGAAGCAAATTATCGTTCCTGAAGCAAGACTCTTTTTACATCATAGATGTAATTGATTGCTGTTTTGCGCATACTCTACTAGGTGTTCGTGAGGTATAGATGATAGGAGATAGTCCTATCTAAGAGTATGATTAAAAAAACATGAAAAAGAATCTCACTGGAACATGGAGGCACTTCTAGTAAGCTCTAAGTGAAGATGCCAATTAATAAGACAATATCAGTACAGGTCATTATGCGTTCTGTATCAATCATATATTAATCAGTGAATGGTGTATACGTAGAAGGGAACCAGTTTAGTTCAATAAATGTATTTCTAAGTTGACTTCACCATACATGCAAACGCTTCATCATTTTTATTAAATAATTGATACAACCTTAGAGTTTGATGAATGACAAGATGTGTTACGTAGAATAGTTATGATAAAAAAATTAAATGAAGTGTTTAGAGCATTGTTATGAAATAAGTCTGAGTTCCTAGCATATGAGAAGCATCATGCGTGATTTTTTCCCTTGTCTAACATCTCAAAGTTAATCAGAGAAATAATCAATTTTTATAGAATTACAAGCAAACAGAATGTTCGAACACATGAAATTTTATGTAATAGCTTTGCGTATATATCTTATTGAAGTTACGATTTAAACAGCATTTATTGCCAAGTTTATATCTTCAAAAGACAATATTGTTAAAGTTAATCGATCAATATGTCTCTTAAAAAGAAGAACTGCATCTCTGTCAATGTTGAAGGTACGACACGTATGGACATGATTAGAATAATTTTCTAGAAGTATCGAGATGTTTTTTACGCCCGAAACGCGTTCGAGTTTATTCTTATATGAAAACATGTCCGAACGCATTTCGACGTGGAAACATATCCGAACGCATTTCGACGTGGAAACATATCCGAACACAAGAATCATTACATACGAGCGACCGTGAATTTTCTATCATATTGACAGCGCTTGATTTTGAATAAATAATAAACTCATGGTGAAGAAACATAGAAAAAAAGTTTATATTTGTTTTTAATTCATATAAAATACGTTGTTTTAGTATTTAAAAAAAAAGATCGTGTATCGATTTGCTCCCAGACTTGCGAAACCGAAGTTTCGCATCCTAATGCTTATGGCACATGAGGAAGGAGTACAAGGTTATAGCCTAGAAACGCGGCTCGATCGATTTCCATACGTTTTGCATCTTTACCTTATGCTGTTTAGCATTGCACGTTGTGTTATTACATTTCTTTTCGGTTCGATGTTCTACCTCAACACGCTGCACATTTTCTTCTATTCTCTAACCAAAGAACGAAAAAAAAATGTGACCAACTTTTTTTTTCAACTCCCTCATTCACGTGGTATATCTTGATTTATCATTCAAAACTTTGAGATTGGAACCAATTATGTCATCTAATACTTTGTTAAATTCATTTAAAATATTCTTTGTCAACCCTTGTTGGCACATGCCAAGTAGCAGACAATGATTTCTGTATAGTAGAAAGTCAGAAGTAATAATTCTTGACAATATTGCTTCCTTTTACAGTCACTATGCATTGTTTAGCTATTTTTTGTTCAAGTTTGTGGAACTCACGTATATTTTCGAAGAAAATTTAGTGAGTGGAAGTTTAAATCAAGGTATTTTCGGCTCCCTACTTGCCCGCTTCCATACACCATAACAACCTGGAAGAGGGACACCGCAGACTATTAGATAAGTTTCCATAGCAATGGGAAAAGGTGCGTAAGTAATAACAATTCTTAGATTATTATGGAACTTTGTAGAAAATTTCAAAGTATTCTATGAATCTAAGACTTCTACTACAGATTCTAATTAGTCTAAATATTGCAAGTTTTGGTATTTAATACGGCGAAAGGATCCTATGGTAGGTGTCAATCAGTAGGACAGTGCTATTATTGATCTAGGAGAATCAGAATAGGACGGACATAGAAAAGCATGAGCTAATTGAATTCTAGGTTTAGGCAAAACTCAACAATATACGTCAAAGTTCATCAAGAGAAAGGATGGTGTGCTCAGAAGCTTACTGAACAATTAAATCAATGTGTATAGCAGGCTAACTTGCTGGTTGAACCGACGAAACGAAGAATAAAATGATACTCGTAGCTTCCTACGGCATGTATCGTATATATTATCATTAGGAGAAAAGAAGTTATGTATTAAAGATGTATTTGACAATACTAATAAGTTTGTTTTCTATATGATGATGGTAAATGAATCTGATAGATTGTTCTAAATGCAAACATTTTCGAAATGATATAATTTCAGAGTGCTCGTATCAAATATAAAAATTACTATAATTTCCATTTATTCATTCACTTGGCATTTTTTTTTAGACAAATTATTTTAATCCCTCTGACAATATACCATAAATTTATGAGACAAGATTTTAAAACACGAGATTTGGATCGAATGGACTAGCAAAAATGTACCTATGTTGGGTAGAGATATGTAGCAGAAATTGAATAGACACCGAGGAATTATACAATGAATGGAGTTTAAAAGAAACTAAGCCTGCTTTCAGCAAGAAACACATGACGTCTGAAAATAGATTAGGTAACAGGAGATTGATCTAAAACGATCTTTATTTGAATATGTTTCCTGTTTACGTAAGCAAATATCCTTCGCTATCTTAATCTACTGGAGAAAGTCTCCTTTCTCTGTGAATTTATGGATAATAATAATAATGATGCTCAAAAATTCATAGGTTGTGGATATGGATAATAAGTGTGAAGTGAAATTCCATGCACCCACACTTGAAATTTTATTTTTTTAATTACCCTCATCGTTTCTTTGTGGCAAATTCTTTATTTGAATCTAAAAGTCATCATTGTTTTAAATTTTATACCTTTCATAGTGAGCCATATGAGTTTACGTCCATACTCACATCACCAGTGTTCTTCTCAGAATTAGTGGTTGCCTTTTCACTACTTAGATTCATGTCTAGATCATTGTTGACTTGAATCTTCATTGCGTTCCTTTGTCTCCTCTTCTATCGAGTCTTTCTCATTTCTACTCTGATGAAAGCTGAACTCGTGACAACTATATACTTTAGTATACTTTCATAGTCATGTTTACAAATCTAGGTGATTCGTCAAAATAGGATAAAAAATGTAGGATCGAATAGAATCACACAAATTTCTTCATGAAGACAGCTTCTTGATTATTTATTTTTAGATATTTTGAGGTTTATCTCTTCGATGTTAAAAAAAATGACCAAAAAATCTACTTGATGGTTGTTATATGTAATACAATAGTCAAATTTAAATACGAAATCCTAAATTAAGAATAGCGATCTGTTATTTTGAGTGGTCGAATTCTAGAACTTAAATGTCATATGTTCATCAATAATACTCGTAGTATTAGATGTATCATCCATATAGTTGAAATCACCATTCGTCTTTTGGCCATTCGCTTTGTATTTCTCATTTCGACGACAAAATACTCGACGGAGTAAATGATAGATCGGTTCTAGTATTAACGTGTACAATATAAATACTAGACCAAATAATTCTAAACAAACTACTGTAAATAGGATGGTACGAAATATAATCTCGGCTTGTTTAGCTATGGGTTGTTGTACATTTTTAACATAGAAGGGTGTTTCACTTATCACAAGCGTCAGCACTATTGCTGATGATGTTGATTGAACGTATTGATCTTGTGAAAGGAATAAACTATCTGAATTAGTCGTAAATGTAAGAATGTAGATACCGGTAAAGTTGCCCTCTTCACCTTCCATCGGTAATGTTTCATTGATAACTTTTGTTAGTGATAGAGCCACAGGTAATGTTTGTGCTAGAAGAGATCCATTCTTTGAAAAAGATTGAGAAGCATTTAACTCTTTCAAATGATATAACTCGTCTTCATGTGAATGACCACTTAGGCCTATGCGTAGAGCACCAATAGTTTGAATACCGGCTAAGGTAATTTCTACAGACGTGAGTTGAAAAGGTAGTGGAATCGTTAAGGATAGAACCGAATGGACATTTTCACAAGTGGACCAACGAATCGTCGACCAAGTCGTGCCAAATAAAGCTCTAAGTGATATAATATCACAATTAATCAATGTATTAATGAAATCGATATTAAGCGTCAAATTTTGTTGTTCTAACAAATCAAACATATTTTTTTCGGCTTCTACACGTGGTATAGCCAATGATTGAAGATTTGTTTGGAATTTAGCATTACGAATTGATAGGTCGCAAGCAAAATAAGAGTCAGATGATGTTTCAATTGGATATTGCTTCAAATAATTATTGCTAAAGGCATAGGCAAAACTAACCATAACTATTAGTGAAAATGAAGCTAAACCACCCACCCATAATTCACCTTCACGAATCAGATCTGTTTTTTGAAATACCCATTTAATTATTCTTCTTACTCGACTACTTGTTGGATTTGCAGTACAACAGTGCAGTATTCCTACTACTATCAGTATGAGAATAGCTATAGCAGCTGCGATCAATGTCCAAAATAAAGGTGATACGACCAAGCAATGTCCTTTTCCTATATGGAACATATTGTGAATTAGGATCTCTTCAAATATAGTACTTTCCGGTGATTCCGGATAGGCAATCACTTGCGTGACAGTTTCTAGTGCAGAATGAGATATTTCATCTACTGAACCAAGAGAACAAAAGGATTCAGATGTACATGACAGACATTTGATTGTAGAATTGCCAGGATTTTTCGTGCCAGTTGGGCAAAGGATACAATCATTTATACCGGATTGATCTTTATACATACCCGGTAGACATGGTTTTTCGGATGTAATAAATGGTATTGATCCTGTTCCTGGTATTGATGGATAGAAGCCTGGTGGTGTAGGATTGAATATTAGCAAATTACCTATAGCATCCATTAAAGTTATTGATTTTGATGATGAAATGACATGTAAAAATACGGAACTAAAAGTTGCCGGTAATAGTTGATGATAATTGGGGAAAACTGATAGCGGAGTACTGTTAGAGTTATACGTACTGGATATCATGTCATAGAAATAGATTCTAGATGACAACCATTGATACGTCAATGAATAAGTATTGACAAGTATTGCAGTCATGTTTTCACCATCTAGCCAGGCTACGCTTCGTCCATTTCCCAACGATCGACCGTTCGTATTTCTGCTAACATAAATTAATTGTCTCGGATTGCTAGTGTTTACCGAAAGTAAGAAAACTCGATTGATGAATTGCATGCCAACTAAAACATTGCCATGACTATTGATACTAATTGACATACTATATTTTGCTGAATAGATATTTGCATCCTCATTGGTTAATAAGTCTTGCCATGTACCTGGAGTAGCTAATGGTATATATTGATCAACGACAATTGGACGGCGATTTGACGAATTGAAATTAAGCAAATAAATGATGGGACTATATTTGACTCTTTCTGTTGAATTATTTTGAATGAAACCGGCAATAATGCCGAAATTGTCACTGATTTCAACAGCATGAGGTGTAAATGAACTATTCGACCATGTTAAACTGCTGTTCCATGATTCCAAAATTGAAACGTTCTGGGAATCGAATATAAAGACAAATGCATTAGAAAATCCATAGGCAAGAAAACCTTTCGGTTCAACCCCGATGACATAGTATTCTTGATGTTCATAATTGTTTAAATATTGAATAGAGTAAGAAAAACCTGTAGCACAAGAGTTCGATGAATTGGAAAGACTATTCGTGAGATTGTATTTCGCTACACCAATAAATGGTCGGTTGCTACTATTGAGTGATTCGCCAGCAAAGAAAAATTGTATTTGATTTTGATTCGATTTCTTGCCAACAGCAACACAATAAACATAATTTTCTAGGATATCAGGATAGCTAATGGAACATTGAGTTGAATTTTGTGTGTTATTATAAGGTGCAAATTGAATAAAAAAACTTGGTGGATTTCTAGCGTTGTTAGCTTGTACGAGGAGAATGTCATTCATAGCTATTTTTACGCCATGGGCATCGTAATCAATTCGATCAGGGCTAAAGACACTATTCAAATGATGAATATGCAATAGCAATAAAAAGCTGATGATGGTATGGTGAATGTAATTAATGTTCTTGTTCATTGAATCGACCTCTCAAGCTCTCGAATGAATGAAGTACAGTTTTGATATCTGAAAAATGCTAAGATAGACAAAAAAATATTTACGATCATTAAATGTCTAGTAATATATAACGTTCGTCAGCTATCAATTTACTCTTTTCTAGGTTGAAAGGCTATGCCATGTGATGTGAATGAATATATGGATTAGAGGTTCAAACAGGTCATCGAGCCTATCTGTTATGGTTTTCACGATTTTCAGTAAAAAATCTATTTTTTTATGCAAGAAATCTACTTTTAAAAAAATACCGTGTGATAACTTTAATAGTGGAACATGAAAAGTGAGCATTTTTCGTTTTGACTGGAAATAATCATGACTAATAATATACTATGATGATATTATTCACGGCTCATTTATTTATGGAATTTATATATTCATTCAATTAAATTACTACTCATGCAAAAAAATTAGGCAAAGATTCTGATTAAAATCGATTATTAATGTATCAGAAATTCATCTTAACTAATAATAATCCAAAATGTAAAAATTCTATCGGTTCTTCTGATTGATTGCAATTATAATGGATTAGATATTGATTAAAAAAAAATGATTATAATCGAAATTAATGAGAAGAATGAATCGAGTTTGAATGCTTTTGATTATTGTTGATTACGAATCGATTCCTAGTCGATTACAGGTTTGTGATTTTCATCAATTTTTAATCACTTTTGTTGATTCATTTTAACCTAATTTTTTGCCTAATTTTTTGCCTAATTTTTTTACGTGGATACTTTGCTGTTATTTTATATAAATGGTTCACTAATTTTAACCATTCCTTATTCCACATTTACGTTGTCATAAAATGTCTATTCTTCATAGATTCTCACCCACTAGTTTGTCATATTCATTCAAAATGTTCTTAATCAAAACTAGACATCGCTATAAATGTTAGCGTTTCCTGCTAATGTTTTCTCTTCAGATATCTACTGTAATAAATGAATAAACGTTTTGTCTAACAGTCTCATTTCGATATATAAAGTTTCATTGCTCTTTTATCAAAACATTTTGCTGTTCCCATTCAAATATCATCAAAATATTAGCATATAAAAAATATAAAGACTACAATAGGCACAGACAGACTAAAGAGATCTACAACCTGTCATGGGTCGACCAGACCTACGAAAAATAAGCCTGTTTCGACCTCTGATACAGAGGACATTATAATAAAAGCACTTCCGATAAGAATCAAGTAGCAGAAGCAGAGAAACCAAGTTTTTTTTAATTTGGCCATTCAGAATCAATTCGAAGTAAAACTGTCCTTGAAATTCAGAGGTCTGATGTACAAACAAATATGTAAAGTAGAACAGATATAGAAACTCCAAAAAAAAAATAAACCGTCACCAGAAAGTCCAGAATCTCAACACCGGAATCATGCTATATGGAACATGGTAGTTAGAGAGCACTCTAATAACATTCGTCATTATTTATCATATTTTATTCTTCTTCATTTGTTCTGTGTATGTGTATTCATTTTACTATATGTTATCCACTCTCGTACAAATAAGTTAATCTTTTTTTCTTTTCTTCGTCCTTGAGAATTCAATAAATTTTCGATCTTTTCTTTTGTTCTAACTTTAAGTGCATTTGAAGATGCCTAACATTATCTTCATCATTACGTAGTCTAGTCCAACGTGGATAAGAATATTTATGATCCCCCTCTCCGTCTGTGTCTTCTGCCTATGTATTTTCTCTCTCATTGTATTTTTTGTTTGTTCGCTTTTTTCCTCCTATATATGTTGGTAATGTATAAATAGCGAAGAATTTAAAAAAGAATAAAGGTTTTAGGAGAAACGGAGATAAAAGAAAAGTTGAAATTGTTAAAAGTTGGTTAACCACAACATCCGATTATATTCTATTAACACATTCGACACGATATGGCCCATCAGTGTGCCACGCTATATTTTAACGAGAAACTGTGTAGAAAAGCAATTTCTTTTGCTTTTTTCTTAGACAGGGAGTTAAACATCATGTGTCATCTGTTCTGCCTTCAGTACCTTTTTTGAGTCTTTTGTTCCATAGCATGATGCTGCTTGTTAATATAATCAAGATAAAAAAATTTATCACTGTCAGAACAGAAGATTTCTACTTTTTTTGCTGCCGCATAGCTCGCTTCGCTTGACTGTTGTGCCCTTCTCTTCGCATAGTAGCCAGTACAGCGTCTGGCGACATTTCACGCAGATCCTTTCTTTTTTTCGAGCTTATGATCAGCGAGTTTGCGCTTTGAATGGGTTGCTAATTTTTGTCTGGGATCAGATTTCAGCTTTTCGAATGGCATGCCATGCAGTAAAGACCTCACAAGACTTTTGCGAAACTGTAGACTGATCATTTCGCTCCCTGTGATGTTATAAACAGAAAAGAGAAAACGACAGATTAGCACAGAATGAAAAGGCCAAGAAGTGCATTTGTCGAAAGGCAAATGCATACGAAAATGAATCTGTAGAGCTGCTCTCTAATAAAGTCGAATCGTGCCGCATGTTTTAATCAAGTTACAGTTGAGAGCCTCTGTAACAATGATATTGCACATCTGTCTCTGAACATCTGCCATGAAATTGAACTGTACGATTCCGATCAAAAAAAAGACTCCCGAACACCACTACACCGCTAGTATTTATACATAAGGCATCATTGTCATGATCCTTGAAGAATAGTAAAAATAGGTGTTCTAGTCATCTGCTGTTCCTACTCTCTCGTGTTCTATTGAGTGTATACAGATAATCCTGCACAAAAGTGCACCTAGATTTCGAACGTTAGAAATAGTATGTAAGTTTTCTAATTGAGATGGTGCGGGTATGGATGTAAGACTTCTCTTCACCTAAACCCACGCCCATACTCACACCCAGATCCACACCTCACATACTTCTTGCCGAAAGTTAGTTTTCTTATTAAGATCTGAGTAAGGACGGATAAGAATGGCTTAGAATGAATTGGAGTGGTCCGTTCGAGATGGTATTTGATTTTTTTATCAAAGGTTTTTCAAAGCAAATGGCTTGAAGTAGGGTCTCATGGATGTAAAATTCGAAGCTCAATCGATTGATATTGACTTCGAGTTAAATGGCGGTTGGAGTGAATTAGTGTGGGTTGGAGCGTATTTCACTAATACTCCTTTGAAAGTGACTAAATTGACTATGATATAAAACTATTACTAACCATTTAAAACTATCATGAGCTCGGCTGTTTTTTGAGCAACTTGAGAATGCAACACGCTATCAGAATGTGGCTTGTACCAATCGCTAGAGGAATTTGGAAAAAATAAGCCGACGAGAAAACGAATATTCCATCATTTCATAAAGAAGTTATATTTCGACAGTCTTTCGTAAAATTACTTGCTATAGAGGTGGCACATTTACTTTACTTCTTCTTTAGGCAAATAAAGTAAAGGAAATAAACTATTTGCCTAAATACGGGTAAATCCCCATAAAATAGAAGTCCATCCCCTGAATTAGAATTCTCCGTTAAAAATCAAGGCTCACTTTATAAAAAATGAACTAAAACCGATGAAAAATGAAAGAATGAACATTTCTCTATTAAAGAATGTAAAAATCTGACACCAAGACAAGCTTTGTTAGAAAGTTATAGCTTTCGGAACAGAGGTACCCCCATAGGCTTCTATTCTGTGAGGGGGAGGGGGCGTTAAATATTATATAAATTTTGTTCGAATTGTTTAATAAATATTCAAGGTAGTATAACAACCATTGGTATGAACTTAAAGTCATAATAGAGTCTATATTACATACTTGATTTTATTAGGAGAA